GGCCCTCCGGAGGAGCGGCAGGGCAGCCCACATCCCTGCGTTTCCCCGAGCAGAGCAGCCTGCCGCGCGCTCCCCAAGCCTGGGCCAAGAGGCAGCAGCCTCCCCGCTTTGCACAGTAGGCCCATCGGAGAGTTGCGGTTTCCTGCCTCTTGATCCCAGGCCTTCTGAGGCAGAGAGCGCCGATGGTAATCTGCAGCAGATGCGTTTGTTTGGCAGCTGCTCTCTCGGAGAGTAAACGGAGTAGGGTTTTAAAAGGCATGTCCCCGCGGGCACACAATCAGAAACGCACTTCTTCACAGTGATAGAGTCATTTCTTCAGCCAGCAGTCGTTAGGGTCTACAGCATACAAGGCCTGCGTTTACCAGCGGAAAACAAGAATCCCTGCCTTCCAGGAACACACCGTCTAGTGGGACAGACAGGTACATGTGCAGCTATCGGGAAGCAGGACACAGTGGCGAGTTCTGTGATGGGAGCAGCAGTGGGCACGGGGCGGGAGGAGACCCCGTCTTCACATACAGGCCTGGGGGCTGTGCTTTCCCCAAGCCCAGCCCGGGCGCATGGTTTCTAGCAGCCTCTGGTCCTCGCTGCTGACTTAGGGACTTCCGCTCTCTTCTTCCAGTTTCTGTAGTAAATACCTCAAGAAGCCCCGAAAGGTATTTGTAGGGTGGAAGGGATTCCAAGAAGCAAGTACACAGGAAAGAGTGCCTGCATCAGCCTGTGGCACATTCAGAGACTCCTTCCTGGTCATGCGGGGAGTGGGAGAGCCAGAGACCGACAGCCGGTGGGGCGTGGCGCCTGCGCTTTTCCAGGTGAGGAAACTGCTCCGCAGCCTGTTAGGCCCCAGGGGGCAAAGCCCATCCATCTGGCAGTTCAGCACCAGGAGAGCAAACCAAACTGAGTATTTTGACCAATTTTCCCCACTTATCAGCTGGTGGTTTGTCTGGTATCATGGGAATCAGCAGGCGCACGTGGTGCGGGGTCTCCTGGACGGAGGGCCCAGGAATAGGTTTCCAAAGGTCAGTAAGGGAGCTTTGTATGTTCCTGTTGTTTTAAAAAAAAAAAAAAAAAAAAAAAAATCGGTCATTCAGAAATAATATTTTTAAAAATAAAATACTTGTCTGTCAAACTTCCTTTCCTCAAATGATACATGATTTAGACCGATGAAGTTTACAAGGGCTTTGGATGTGTGCGTGGCCCAGTCTGCGTCTTCTCCGAGTGAACATGTGGAGAAGACGGCCGACTACTCAGAGCTGAGTGGCAGCGTCGGAGCTGGGTAACAATCAGGGTTTTGTTAAAGCAAAACAAAACCCCAAAGGGATAATAAGGAAGGCAAATCTGAAGTACTGAAAATGGGTCTTTTCCTGCACTTAGGTTTTGTTGGTGGGAATAAAATAAGTAGAGGTTAGATAAGCACTATTCACATGGGGTAGAAAGAAAAACAAAACAGGTTTTTTTGGTTAACCGCAAGTTCGATTTGAACCTAAAGTGTTGAAAACAACAGCAGAAAAAGGAACCTGTGGCTATAATTACAATAAGAAGAATAGTTATGGGTGTTTGAGTACCTACCAGGGGCAAGCACCCCTAAAAGGCGTGTGGGGTGCAGGACGCCCCAGGTCCACGCACGGCCCTCTGCACAGCAGCGGGCCCTGCCTCCCTCCTCTGCTGCCAGCTCCACGGCCCCCACCCCCCGACATCCCACATCCCCTTCCTGAATTCACCTGCCTTCTTCATCTCTAGGCGCTCAGCATTTTCTGCAGAAAGGCTCCCCTGGCTCCGCGCCCCTCAGACGGGGAGCTGTGTCATCACCTGCCCCGTTTCCTGCCCAGCTGCGAGCTCGCCAAGGGCAGCAGCTGTCATGCTCACCTCTGCACCCCTCAACGCTTTTCACTTACTGGCGCCTGTGTTTGTCAGACTGAGATGCAATGATCGTATCCAATCATAGGGCCCAGACACTAAGAAAATGTGGCAAATTGGGACTCGCTAGAGGAGAGTGACCGAAGGCAGGGGGGCTTGTAGCTTCGTCGTGGGAACAACGGATGAAGAACCGAGATGTCCCTTCAGTTGTGTGCTGAGCTGTCATAGGCTATCCAAAACACCTCTGCCACTCTGGAGGGCAGGGAGCAGGATGTCACAGAGCCAGGGGATTGCCTAACAACTAAGCCGATTCACAACAAGGCGGGCTGCTTCGAGGGGGAGGACCCCTCGCTGGCAGTTCTCATTCAGAGCCGCAGTGCGCACTTAGGCTGCACACCTTGGATTTGAGGGCGGATTAGGCCGCCACAAGGGTTCTCTTCAGCCCTAAGAGTCTACCGTGAGCATTTATCAGGGACCTGTTCTGTGCCAGGTCCAAGGATCACAGCAGAGAATGCAGCAGGCGTGCCCCTGCCCTCAGAAACCTGCACTATTGCGAGGTGCGCTGTTTTGGGTCTTCCAAGAAGCAGACACCAAGACCCTGCTGGTGTCCGTGGAGGAGAGAGGGAGCAGGAGCAGGCAGGGGGCCTCGGGCCAGGGTGCAGTCTGCCGTCTGTGAAGGGAAGAGGGCAGGAAGAAGGACTGCGTGGGGAACGCCGCAGCCCACGGCACACGGACTGATGGAGGGCTGAGCCAGGGCTTCCCCATCGAAGAGCCCTGTGTCAGGCAGGAATGGCCAGCCCTGGGGACTCTGCCCTGTTCAGTCACTGGCAGAGAGCAGCCCGGAGAAGCCTGGCCTCTGTGCAAATATGGTGGCCAGGCGGCTGGGACCATGGGTCACCTCTGCTCCGTAACAGGCTCTCTTGCAGATGTGGAAGGCCCACTTCCATGGCTGCCACCCAGGGATTCAAGAGAACAGTGCCCTGTCACACAGGACCTTCCTGTGTGGTCACATGCCAGCAGGGGCTGGAACTGGGGTTTCAGCTCGGGTTCCTCTGACTTTAATCCCAGGCTGCACCGCAGGCTCCCTCCCAGTCCCTGAGACAGTGTCTGGAGCACGCGCCTGCTTGCCCAGTGTCACTTAGCCACTGGGTGTATCAGTGGCGTAAGTGACACAGCTTAGCCCATAACTTGATCTCTGGTCATATTAGAATGAAACTATGATTTAAACCAGGGTCTGCTTGATTCTGGGTACAGTTTAATTTCTACCAGACTTCATAAGGACGGGGCCCAAAAGACTTAGCGAGGATAAGAGCAACTCCTCCTAAGCATATTTTCTTAAAAGACTTAAAAGACATGTGGTTTCAGCCTCCAGAAGGCAGAGAAAGCAAAGCGCAGTGTCGATTGTTTTCCCCCTGCCAGTAATAATATGGCCCTTTTCTGGGAAGACCCACGCCTATTTTGCTCATCACCGATTTCCCCTTAAATATATAGTGAACTATGGAAAAAACAGTGCAGCACAATTGCACCCAAAAAAAGCCATTATGATTTACTTCTGATATATCTGTCCACAGACAGAGCCCTCAACACAAGGTTTAGACAGCTGATGTCAAGCATACCCCAGACTCCGAAACCCCAGAGCAGAGCTGGGGGCCAGCAGCAAGTCCGAGGCCCAGCGCAGGCTCCCCAAGTGGGTTTGATCCCCAGCCCTGGCACGTGAAATCACTGCTGGACAACTGTGGAATGTCCAGGGGGATTCGTGGAAAGTGAAGTGAGGGCATACGTGTGGAGAGGCTTGTATGTGCCCTGTCCACTGAGTTATGGTTGAGAAGAGGATGATCTGTACTGGCCCTTTCACCGTCCAAGCCACCAGGGAACGGAACTGGGTCCCCAGGGCCTCAGCCTCTGGGACACGTGGGCGCTGGCTACATCGGCCAGGTTGACATTTCCAAGTCACTGAGGGACGTTCTCCTAAAAGCCACTAATCTGTTACCCAGTACCCACTGGGGCTGGGGAGGGGGATCTTTTTCAAATATTTGTTTCCCTGGCTTAAATATGGTAAGGGGTGTGTAATGTGACTTTTCCTGACAGCTTGGCTCACTGTTATGCCAGTCCATTATTGTACACACTTTTGCTTCTACTAAATTAATTGAACCCAAATTGTCGTTCTTTAACTTTTGTTTCTAATTCTGATTGTTGTGTTTGTGTGGCCTCGCTTTCTAACAACGGCCGCTGCTCGCTGTGGCTGGCGTGCCTGCCTCTCACAACCGCATCTTACCTTTTTAGTTGGGGGGTTGTGCGGTGCTAAAGGCTGAGGCGCAAGCGGTCAGGGCCCCGGGTTCACGTGTGAATGGAGAAGCTGGGGGCTCCTTCCTCGATCTTTGTGGTGACCGTTTCCTTTCTCCAGGGGCTTCTTTTGCTTCTTCCCTGGTCTTCTGTCATGTTCCAAAGAGGTGAAGTGGCTTACTAGTAACTGTCTTCAGCAAAGTAGGGTGCAGACATCTATTTATTTGGATTTATATGGCTCTGCTCTGTAAAGAACACCTGATGGTTTCTTGTCTACATAGCTTGTAGGAGGGCACCCTGCCATCGTATCATAAACTGAGCATTTTTTTGGATGTTGTGAAGAATACTGTCTATGTCCTGTGCCCTAGAATCATACAGAACTGGTTGGAAATCCCAAATTTAGTCACTGAATACCTTTGTGAATTTGTATAAATTGTATCATTCCAAGTCTCTAAGCCACTATTTTGCACCTACAAAATGCAGCCATAATGGCTGTTTGCTAAGTGGTGAGGCTCCAGTGCTTCAACGCGTTGCCTGCTGTAAGACAGTGCCTAGAACATGGCAGACCGTTGGCTGGGTTGTAACAGTAATTCCTTTCATATCCAAACGCCTTTTCCCCTAAAAGGAAAGCTGTGTTTTCCAAGCCATCAAAAATTTTGGCACTGAAAACTCCACTCCCCGTGGCCTTTGGAGAGTGAAAACTCGTCGCCTCAGCACAGCTCCCCCGTAGACAGCCGGGAGCTCTGGCAATCCGAAAGGTTCTTTGTGGCAAAGAGCAGTTGGCCCCTGACTGAGAAAAGGGCCCCGCCAGCTTCCAGCCCTCGTGCCTGATGCTGACACTTGAGTTTTCTCTTGCTCTGCAGTGAACAGAGTATCTGCCAAGCCCGGGCTTCCGTGATGGTCTACGATGACACCAGCAAGAAATGGGGACCAATCAAACCTGGCCAGCAGGGGTTCAGCCGGGTCAACATCTACCACAACACTGCCAGCAGCACCTTCCGAGTGGTCGGGGTCAAACTGCAGGATCAGCAGGTGAGTGCCGCGCGTCACGGGCGGCGCCCCCGAGCCTGCACCCGCACTCTCACGCACACGCGTGCACATGTGCACGGACTCACACAGGCGTGAAGTGAAAAGAGGTAAAAAATATAAAAGGTCAAGATTTGAAGTCAGAAGATCTGGGTTCAAATTCTGACGCCAGCCCTGGCCGGGTGCTCCATTGAGTGGAGCATCATCCCCATACGCCAAGGTGGCAGGTTTGATCCCGTCGGGGCATGTGCCAGAACCCACCAATGAAGCATAAATAAGTGGAACAGCAAACTGATCTCTCTCTCTCTCATCAAAAAATAATAAAGGTTTTTTTGGTTCTAATTTAAATTCACATTTTTTTTAATTTTTTTATTTAATCTTTATTGTATTTTTTTCTGTTACCATTTAGTCCCCTAAGAAAAGTGTTTTTTTTTTAATTCTGACTCCATATTCTCATACACCGAGGTATGAGACCTTGAGCAAACAATCTTTTCTGAACATCATTTTTCATATCTGTCTCATACAGACAATAATCCACACTCTGCATACCTCACTGTGTTATTGTCATATTGGAATAAAATAGTAGATGTGAAACAGCTTTGAAAATATATATTGTACAAACATGTTAGTTTTATTTTATGCCTACATATCCATAAGCAACATGATAATGAAGATTTTTGGTTTATCAACCCCTTAAGTGTTACTTTGGAAGGAATATCAAGATAGTGTGAAGACTCCAGGAGCATTTCTCTCCCTAATAATACATCCTGGACAAATCAGATGAGATGGTTTGTGAACACACCTGACAAGCACCTCCGCACATACGTGGTTGAGACCGCCTCTGTCAGGAAGTCGTGTGCACATAACTAAGACAGAGTAGACTGATGCAACACGAACCAAAATAGCGGCGTGGAGAAAGGGTTCGTGTGGCCTGACCACAGCGGCTTGGGTTCACACTTCACTCCTCTCCCTCCGGTTCTATTCATAGAGATTGGCAGGGACAGTTTTAGCAATGGAATCAACAGACCTATAGTTTCAGCATTGGTGAAGAACTCTGCCTAAATAGCGTCTCGGGCATCCTTTGCTGGTCAAGCCATGGCTAAGTTGAGCAGCAGGTTAGAAAGGATTCTTTGCAAGAATCCACATGTTAGCAATTAGAAAAGAGAGAACAGAAACTTAAGACTCTATTTTTAGTGGGTTGCAAGTTGAATGTGTTTCTGCTTTGGCCAAAATAAGTTTCAGATTCTTGTGGCTAAAAGAGACATCCCCACTGCAGGGCCCCTCATTAAGGGGGTCTAACCTGGAACTCCTGGTACCTTTAGGGGCACCCCTTCCCCTTGTTGATGAACCTTACTGATAGGAAGGTTTCTCTAAAAGCCTTCTAGAGGCTCTTTCCTGTTTCTCCAACTCATTGATTCCAGCTCTGCCTTTTAGAGGCACTCAACACCATACCCTGAAGGACAGGTAGCACCCTACCTATCTTACACATTTTTGTAACACCCACGGGTGGGGGCTGGCACAGCATGCCACCCGGTACCCCACACCTGTGACATAGGCCTATTACCTGGTACAGCCTCGGAACCCCAGTGCGTGTTCCCCAAGTGCTTGCTTTTCCATGACCAGCTTCCCATTCCCTTCTTGCCTCTTGGTTGCCCTCCCGGACCCGCTGTGAAGACCACACAGTGTGCTGGAAAGGGCGCGGACTGGAGAGCCGGATTCCTGGGGCCCTGCGCGCGTCCTGGTCTCGGGAGCCTCCTGCGGGTGAAGCCACGTGTGAGGGCTCCCTGGGGCGCAAGCCTTTGCCCTGGCGGAGGCGCTGGCAGCAGCCTTCCGCGACCTCCTGGGCCGATGCAGGGGCTGCACTGGCCCTACCTGGGAGACCTGGGGTGTGACGGGGGGCTGCCAACACTGCCTCCCACCGCACTGCGGGCGCGAGGCATGGGCCTCAGGGCGTGGTGGGGATTCTCCCCCAAAGGGTGGGGCATGGTTGCCAGGGACACACAAGGGTTTCTTAGCAAACCAAGCCGTCAGTGAGAGTGGCGGGAAACCTAGTTCACAATAACATTTGTGGACCTCAGGAGAAACGACTAATTTTCACAGGTCTGTCTCCAGTCAGTATGGATTACAAGGTCAAACACTTTGAGGGAGACAGAGATTCCTGGTTTTATAACCAAATAGGGATATCTTCCATGTTTAATTTCTCTATATCTTAATGAGCATTTTTCATATCTAAATAACCCCATGGCAAGAATTATCACCAAATTGTAGTAGCTATTATTTTTATTTAATTATAGTTATTTTTAATGCTTATTTTCCCTTTAACCTTTATGTCCTGATTCTGTCTGTCTGTCACTGTACTCAAAGTTGTGTTTACTTTTGCCTTTTTGACTCAAGTAGAAGAGCTACTTTCAGTACTTCTTATAATGCAGGTGGTACATTCTCCCAGCTTTTGTCTGTCTGGGAAGGCCTTTATTTCCCCTTCATATGTAAAGGATCACAGATGGGTATAGTATTCTTGGCTGGTGGTCCGTCTCTTTTGCTATTTTTAATATTTCACTCCGCTCCCTCCGGCCTATAGGGTTTCTACAGAGAGATCTGACACTAATCTGCTGGGGTTTCCTTTGGAGGTTCCTGTCATTTCTTCCTTGGCTGCCTTGAAAATTCTTACTTTAGGATTAACTTTTGACAGTTTATAATGTGTCTTGGAGAAGGCCTTTTTGTGTTGAGATAATTAGGTGTTCTGTTAGCATCTCATCCTCAAATGTCCCATTTCTTCCCTAGGTTTGGGAAGTTCTCATCAATGTTGCTTTGAATAGGCTCTATGTTCCCATCTACCTCTCTTCTCCCCCGGGGATACCCATGTTATGTGGCTTTTCCTAATGGAGTCAGATCATTCTCATAGAGTTCTTTCATTTTTTAAACTCTTCTCTCTCTATTCCACCTGAATCATTTCTGAATTTTTATCCTCAAGCTCACGAACTCTCTTTCTTATCCGGTCTGCTCCACTCCCAGTGCTCTCTTGTGCATTCTTCCTCTCAGTCATTAGTTCTTCAGTTCCAGGATTTCTGTTTGATTCTTTTTTTATAGCTTCTGTCTCTTTGGTAAAGTACTCCTTTTCATTCATTTTATTCCCAAGCTCATTGAATTTCCTTTCTGAGTTTTCTTGTATCTTGTTGAGTTTCTTCATTACTGCAATCTTGAATTCTCCGCCATTTACATCTCAGTCTCCCATGACTTTGAGATTTGTTTCTGGAGACTTGTCAGTTTCTGTACATCTCTGAACATTTGAGATAGTGTACTCTTCTTGTTAAGATAGATACTGTTTTAACCTTAACAATTCAGTAGGTTGATTCTTAGAGGTCTTTCTTTTGTATTCCAATAGATGGTGCTATAGAGCAAGGTTTTGTTTTCTCTCACCCCACTACTTGCGCCTCCTGGGTCACCATGGGAGTGAATGTTCCCCCTGAGCCCAGGTTGACTCAGTCTTGGGGCACCACCATCATGGCGGGCACGGGGGAGCCAGGCCCTCGAGCAGCCGCACTGACCCCTGTTGCTAACGGCCCTATGGCCCCAGGCGCCACTGCGCTGTTAGGTGCATCTCGCAGCTGCCCCTGTGTCTGGGGCGGGAGCTGTCCTCATGGCCCCAGCGCCGCTCCTGCCCCTCTTACCTTCGGCTGGGCACGGTGCGAGCGCTGCACCCTCACTCCTGCACTGCTGCTGCGCTAGCTGGGGCCTTGGCGGCCGCCGCACTAAACCTGCAGACACGCTCCCTGTCCTTCCCTCTGTCCCGCATCCCCTGCATGTTCCCCTACGCTCACCTTCAGATGGACGGATGCGTGGATCTCTCGGCTGTGTTTGTGTGTTGAGCAGATGAACCTTTGCTGGATGATAAATGCCCGACTTGTAAATTTAAGGGGAGATAAAAAGGGTTCTTCTCACTCTTCCACGATGCTGATGTCAACAGGAAGTATAAATTGAGAGAGCCTCTCCGAAAAATGATTGGACAGACCCTACCAGAACTCAGTGTGCACCTGCATCCACGAAAAGACATATGAAAATATTCACTCTTTTATTCTTTTTTTGTTTCATTTTTTAAAGATTTTATTTATTTATTTTTAGAGAGGGGAAGGGAGAGAGAAAGAGAGGGAGAGAAACATCAGTGTGTGGTTGCCTCTCACACACCCCCCCACCGGAGACCCAGCCCACAACCCAGTCATGTGCCCTGACCGGAAATCAAACCAGTGACCCTTTGGTTCACAGGCTGGCATTCAATCCACTGAGCCACACCAGCCAGGGCATACTTTTATTCTTAATAACCAACAGCTGGAAACTACACAAATGTATGTTGACAGGAGAATGGATTAGGTGTTTGTGGTGTGTCAAAAGATGAAATGTTATGTAGCTAGCAATCTAAAATAATTAAATACTTATAAACGCAATCATGTGGATGAATTGTATAGACATTATGTTGAGTGAAACAAAACATACCGTAAAAATCCATTTCTATGTAGCTCAGAAGGCAGGATCTGCCTTTTGACCCAGCGATCCCACTGCTGGGGATAATCCAAAGGAATCCAAAACCCTAACTGGAAGGGACGGAAGCGCCTCTGTATCCATCTCAGTGTTATTTACAATCTCCAAGAATTGGAAGCAGCCCGAGGGTCCATCAGTCGATGAATGGGTAAAACAACTGTGGGCCAGTTATGCAATGGAATACTACTCAGCCATAAAAAAAGAAGAACCGTTTACCCTTTGCAACAATATGGATGGGCCTAGAGAACATTCTGCTAAGGGAAATAAGCCAGTCAGAGGAAGGCAAATACCACATGATGTCATTCATATGTGGAATCTAATGAACAAACTGAACTAACAAGCGAAATAGAGACAGATTCCTAGTTAGAGAGCACGTGACAGCTAAGAGGGGGAAGGTAGAGGGGTGGAGGGATTGAACAAAAATGAAAAAGAACTCATGGACATGGACAACAGTGTGGTAACTGTCGGGAGGGCGGGGTATGAAGGGACTGAATGGTAATGGGGAGAAAAACAATAAAAAAAAAAAACCTCAAAAAAAATAGGCAAAAGTAACTGATGGTGATAATAGTCAGAAACATGGTCGTCACTGGGGAGGAGCGTGGGGAGAGAGGTATTGGATGAAGCTGACCAGCTCCCCCAAGTGGACTTGCAGCAATGCACACGTTCCAAGCAGAGTAAACAAAGGAATGGAACCGCTGGGTAGACACAGATTTTTTACTGTCAGCCCACTGTGTTCCCTGGACCCCTCTCTCTCTTCACTGTAGGATAGGCCTAACCCACCTCCCACTGGCTAGGACTAAGAGCCGGTCCGGGTAGCACCCGCGCTCTGGCCTCTGGCCTCACTGTCCCCGAGAGCACAGCGCATGGGGCAGTGCAGGGGGCGGTGACCAGAACCCCCATCACAGGGCCCGGCCCGCCAGCAGGGTGTCTGGGCCGCGTCCCTTTGCATCTCCGAATCCTTTCCTGACCAGGGGCACAGTGGACAGAGTCCATCTGCGACTCCAGATCCCAAACCCTGGAGCCGCAGCGCCAGGAGCTCTGAGAAACCATCTTGCGCCTCTCCTGGAGCAAAGTGCTTACCGGGACGTCACAGAGGGCCCGCCACTTCCATCCCGGGGACTTCCTGTATCTCAGCGACACTCCCTCGCAGCCGGCCGTGTGCCAGCGCCGTTAGTTCACACTCAGAGTTTAGTCCTCACAACATGCTGCACTCAAGGGGGCCACCCCACAGCCACATCCCATTCTTCCCCATTTTACAGATAAGAAAACTGGTGACGAACAAGCCCTGTGACGTTAGCGCAGGCGACTCCAAGCGGGGGTGGGGGAGGGCTGCACACTGCCGGCCCCGCCCCGCCCCCCCCTCAGCGAGCCCCGCTTGCTGGGTGTGGCAGTTGAGGGTCTGAAGGAGCAGCGAGCAGAGGCTGGATGGGCCCGGGAGGGGGTCCCGCCTGCTGATGAGCGCCTGCATGGCTGGGTGCTGTCTGGTTTTCTGGGGGCTTTCCCTGCCGGGCCTGGCATTGATCCTGGCAGTCCGTTGAGATTTCTTGATGGATTAAAATCAAGATATTAATAATGGTATATATTGGTGTGGCATATTTTACCTTCTCCAAGTGATCCTTTTAACTAAAAACCCATTTATTAATGCATTTCAAGTACTAAACATGCAGAGGGCTCTGGGAGGCATAAATACTGATCTGAAAAGACTCTTGTCCTTAAGGATCTTTGTGTCTGGCAGTCTGGTTAAGATTATGTATCACAATGTGACCTTTACAGTAATCCCATGAGGGCAGAAGAGCCGGGATTATCAACCCCATTTATAAGTGGAGAGACTGAGCCCCAGAGAGGTGCAGGGACCACCGTGGGTGACGTAGCTGCGAGGCAGGGCCAAGGCCAGGGTCCAAGGAAGCTGACTCCCAGCCCAGGTCTCTTGTCTGGGGGCCGTGCCTGCACGGCGTTACCGTGAGATGGAGTAAGCAGCTTCTCAGCCTTCAGAGCTCCGCGGGTCAGGGGGTCAGGTTGAACGGCTGCTGGACACACTTCCCCCGGTGACCCCGCCCACCCACCCATCCTCTGGGTGCCCCAGGGGACACAGTACCCTCGCCCCGTAGCAACTCCCTCCAGCTCACTTACCTTTTATTTATTTAGACGCATTTCTCCCTCTTCTCCCTCCAGGTTGTGATCAATTATTCAATCGTGAAAGGGCTGAAGTACAATCAGGCGACACCGACCTTCCACCAGTGGCGAGACGCCCGCCAGGTCTACGGCTTGAACTTCGCCAGCAAGGAGGAGGCGACCACGTTCTCCAACGCCATGCTGTTCGCCCTGAGCGTCATGAATTCCCAGGAGGGAGGTAAGCAGGGCTCCGCGCAGCGGGTGCTGAGCCCCTCCCTGCCGCCACAGCTCTGGGTCTCAGGCGCCCGCATCCCACGGCCACACTGGTGTTCTGTGGGCACGCGAGAAAGTGCCGCCTGACTCCAGGTTTAGAGAGATTAACAGTTTAAAGGAAGAGGGGATGATGTGGGCATCTCTTGCCATTCGTGAGCTACGGATTCGCTCTGATGTGTTCCTAGAGCCATCTGTCCAGACCTGGTTTACATTGGCCACCCTGCTTCCACGTTCCAGAGCGCGCATTTGGCAGAAATGGGAGGGAGTGAGCAACAATGTATTCTTGAATTCAATTATTTACATGCCTAACAAACTTGGACTATATATTTACCAAGTATAAGAGCCTGGTGGCAGACTATATAGGAAGGGCACAGAAGAGTCCTTCCCCTCAAGGCGTTGGTTATTTCGGAGTAGACAGATTCCTAACCTGCCAGTCACCGTGCCCTGTGATGAGCGCTGTATAAGGTAGGAGCACGGCACTTGGAGTAACTGCCCGTCTGGACTGCCGGGGGCGGCTTCGACGGGTGGTGACGTTTGAAGGGTGAGGAGGCCACAAGGCAGAGAAGGGAACGGGCCCGAGGCAGAGGGAAGAGCACAAAGAGGCATCCGGGCATGAAGCTCAGCATGTGCTGGGCAGACAACACTGCCGTGTTCCCGAGCCCCAGGCCCATGGCGTGAGGGGCCGGAGGGGAAGCTGGGAGGGGGTGGCCTCGCGGTGAAAGGCCCCAGCGACGTGGGAGGCCTGGACACGCTTGATGCTCGGTGCAGGCGGGGGCGGGGGCGGGCGGTGCTAGCGCAAGTGCCTGAGCAGGTCAGCTAAAGCCGGGAGCAGAAATGCATGTGGCTTTCATTGGAAATTTGCGGTGTTAGCTCAGAGGGAGGAGGGGGACTTTCGAGGGTGTAGGTGACGGCCACAGATCCAGTCCTGCCCTGGACTGCAGGTCTTACCCCAGCGGAACCTCCTCGTGTAAGGCCCCCGTGGGGGCTCCCCTGCAGGGCACGAGCCCTGGTTCTGCTGAGGCCTTGGACACGCGACTCCATTTTCCTGTGCTTCATTCCCTGATCTGTAAAAGGGGGAGGGCATTGTTTTTACGTTTTGGTGAGCTAGAATGTAAACCATTCAGCAGACCGCCTGGCATAGATCGATCCCGTGTCAGCGTCTGGGCATCGCCACTGTCACTGCCACCGCTGCCGTTACAGCTGGGGTGGGAAGTGGCAGGACCTGGCACTCAGAACTGGACCGAGGTGGCTTTTGAGCATCTATTGTCCTGATATACTGCAGCCGTGGGACCCTGTTTAAACTGTAGGGGAATTTTGTGAGTAAATAAAGACACGCTTTGAGTACGCTTCCTGCAGGTTACACACACAGAACAGAACGTGCAGAGTGCTTTCCTGCCGTGACGTGGTCCTCAGGTGTGTGGATTTTCTGCTGTTGACTTGGGGTGCGTGGCAGGGAAGCCCCTCAGCTGCAGCGTGCGGAATGCCGCCCAGGGCGGAAACACTGTGGGCACGAAGTCAATGTCCACGAAGCGTTTTTTCACCCAAGGGCCTGGGACTTCGCGGTAACAAGAGCTGAGTTAAAGTTCCATCTGCACTACCTCTCCGCCCCCAGATACGAAAGTTAAACTTATCTGTACGCATGGACACTTTGTGGGGCAAGAAACAAAAGAAAAAGGTTTTAATTGAATCAGACCACTGACTCTTTCAAAGCAAGCACTTAAATTAAATGAAACCAGTTACTTAATTAAATTCGCTGTAGAATCTCAAGGAAACCCGCTAATCCGCTTCTTTTTCACAGAGGAAGGCTGCGACCCACCTATTAGGAGGAAACAGCTTATCTTGGTCAGGCAGTAATTCAGGTTTGGGACCCAGACCACCTCCGGGGGCGGATGGATGTCTTCGGTGGGGTCCAGGTGGGGCCACAACGTGAGCGTGGCCTGATTTCACCCTTGCACCATGAGCAGCGGCTGCCCGTCTGGGTTCGTCGGCCGTGGCCTGACCTGCTGGGGCAGGCGAGCTTCGGTGCAGGGAACTGCTGAGCCCGCTCGGGGTGATGCTTTGTCCTCACCTGAGACATGACCTGCGGGCAGCAGGTGCACACATCTGAGAAGTGCAGCTGGAGGAGCTGTGACATGTGTGTGCACCAGGTCCTCCCCCCACCACCCTCACAAGGACAGCCAGGATGTCACGTCTGAGAGACAACAGTGGCTTTGCCAGTGTTTGAACTTCCCTCTGTGCGCACTGCATGCAGAATGTGTACGTCTGTGCGTGGTTTCTTCCCCTCGATGTTGTCTCTGTCACCGGTTCCCGTCACTGCGATGTGTGACACTGACGCAGCCTTCCTGCTGTCGGTGGTTCAGCCTTTGGTGCTCAGGCCAGCACTGGAAGCCCCTCCCCCACCCATCTGTCCCCTCGCTGCCAGCTGATTGTGACGTTCCCTGTTAAATCCCCCCATTGGGAAATCGCCCCCGCTGCTCCCTCCCTCCCTCAATGAGAAGCAGGTTGCTGTAGTGAAAAAAGCACTTGTTTGAGGGCAGCTAGATCTTATATTAAGCCTCTGCTTTGCCACCTGTGGCCATGGTCTTTCCTGAGGTTGTTGGAAAGATTAAACCTGCGATGTTTATAGAGCCCTCAGTGTATAGTGCCTGGTATGTCATACGGTTCTTTCCCTCTTACTCTTGTTAAAGGTGGTTCTCTTCTGTGAGTTTCCTTGTCCTTCTGTGTATAGTGTAGTTCTAAGTCCCTCTCACAAAGGGGTGGAGAGGATTCCAGGGCCCAGCGTGGCGCCTGGCACCTTGGCTGTGCCCACCCATGACCCCCTCTCCTCAGACTGCTCTGCGGGGGCAGCGCGGGCTCACGCCTTCAGGTCGTGGTCTTTTCTAAGCTCAGCGTCTCCGCAGGTCGGGTCTTAGCATTCCCACAGCTCCACCCTCGTGTGTGGACAGACACTGGCATGGCTGCCTCTGGGTTGCACACCTGCCAGAGATGAGACACTGGATACAAACCTGAAAGCCACTCGGACGATCCCAGATGCCGAGGACTTACTGCTGAACAGCGTTCCTGTCCCCCTTCTCAGCCCTGAGTCTCACCACAGCCCTGTAGGTGAGTCCCAGGTAATATTAGGAATGGCCAGGAAGCCAGGCTCAGAGAGGAAAGTGACTTCCCTGTAATTCCACAGCCCAAGTGTTAGCGGAAGTTAAACCCAGAATTCACTCATTGACGCAGGTCATGTGGTCTGCATGCTAAAGACAAGCGGGGACCGTGGCTTCTGTCTGTCTTTGTTCCTGTCTGCCTCTCAGCCTAGTGAAGCCACTGTCAAGCCAGGACTCTAACATTCTCTAGAGAGAGCATGGGCACAATAGAGCACTGTCTTTGTTCTATGTGGAAAAGACAGGCCTTTGACCCTTGAAAGATCTGGTTTTCTGACATTGTCACCAGGACGATTGCTAGGGGCAGGTAAGAAAGACCCTGAGAAGAACGTGGAGCAGCAGGCTGCACTTCACCTGCAGAGAGTCCGGGTCCATGCAGGAGGCGGGCTCCCACGTCAGCCGCGGTCGCTGAGTGAGGCAGTCCTTGCTTGTGACCGAAAAACAGCAAATACGGACAAGCAAACAGCAAGCACCTCTTCTCCTGCAACCCAGAGATAACTAGTGACACTCTGTCCTTCCAAACCTTCCAGTGTTCATGCATGAGTGGAAACTGTCCCCTAGAAACAGCCTCTGCGTACCGTCCTCTAACCTGCCTGTCTCAGCTAGCTCTACGGTACGAATGTCTTTCCACGTGCAAGAGGTTGGATCGTCGCACCATTTAAGTGGCCAGAGTATTGCATTGAGTGCCCTGAGAGAGGGACTGTGGTTTAACCAGCCTTCTGCTTTTAAACATGTAGGTCAGCCCCCTTTCCCCATTACCTCCATGTCGCAGAGAGAGAGCTCTCGTATGTTTATGTATTTGTGTGTTTGCTTTGCATAGTGCATGTTCACCTTTGCGCACTTGTCCAGTTATTCTTGGGCATACTTCTGAGTCAAACAGTGTATACATTTTTAAGTTTCCGTATATCTTGCCCAGATGCCTTGCAGAAGGGTGTGCTGGGTTACGCCCTGTCTAGCCCTCAGGACAGTCCCCCACTGCCTCAGCCTTCCCCAGCACGAGGCGTGCGCGCTCTATCTGGTCAGCCTTAGTAAACGCAAAGACAGGAAAACACCATTTTTATCGGCACTTCTGTTTAATAGGATAGGTGGGCATTTCCCATGCATTAACTGGCAATCCCATTGTTCCCATTATTTTCCGCGGTAGCTTTAATCAAGTGCAGTGCAGCCCAGAGGGACGCAGATTTCTGCACCTTCAGGGACCCCTGCGTAATCCCCCGCCCCCCGAGTATGTGCATCCTCTCCTGACAAAGGGACCTCGTCGTTCCCTGGGCAAGTGCATGGAGGTGGCCTGGTGTCATGCGGGTGTGCTTCAGGCTCAGCGATGGATAATAAATATGCCTCCCTCCCTCCCCAAGCTGCCGTCAAGGGGCGTCTGCAATGCCTCGCTCTCCTCCGGGGACCTTGCCGGGGAGGAGGCCCATTGTGGCCCTGGCCACGCGCATGTGGGAGAGGCCTTGGTGGTGTGGAGTTGGCAGACCCGACTCTGGGCCCGGCCACGCCGGCAACCACGTGCGCCTGGGCAAGTCACTGCCCCTTGCTGGGCCTCGGTTTCTTCATCTGTAACGGCTGGTGTGTCTGCCTCAGAAGGAGAGGACGAGTAGGTGGTGGGGTCCGGAAGGCTTCTGAGCACACAGCGCAGTACAGCGTGAGGGCCCGTGATGGCGACTAGCAGCAGTGGCTTGGCCGTGCCCCGTTCAGCCGAGGCACATGCCTCCCCTGCCACAGAGCCTGAAATCTCTGGGGCAGTTCGGCCCTCTTGGCGTTCACTTGAGAGCTGGGAAGAACCTGGCCTGGAAATCAGGAGCCTGGTTCATGG